AGAGGGAGAAGTTAAGCGTCCTCCCCAAGTCCTTCAAGTTAACTGTCAGCACGAGAGGCAGCACTAACGGGAAGCCTTACAGGCTTGGAGCCTTCAGGAAGCACCCAAAGAAGGTCAGGTGGTTTTCAACTTGACAGACAGATGTATAGACATTAGATTCACAGATGGAAAATCTGCCAGAATCAAATGCAGCGCAGGAAGAGACTAAAGGCCGCACCTCAGCACACAGCTCAGTTCAGGGCATGCAGGCTCAGCTTGGCGGATGTGGGACGGGACCTTGAACTAACCCCTCCAAATAATTCACAAGAAAGAGAACCTTGATTGTATGCTCTAGTGCAAAAGCAGAGGTAGAACTTTTTTTCTTTAAAGAGAAAAACTTCTTAATAATACATGGTAGAAAACTTAGATCCAGTAGTTCTTAACTCTTTTGGGTGTTTAGTCTGGACAGCCTTGGGACAGGGACTTCACCATTTAAATGTTTGAAATAACATTAATCATCATTAATAGTCTCAAATGTTGTGATGACAAATATATTCACATGAACTCTAAAAAGTCTGCTACATTCCTGAGTGATTTTATTGATCCTGGGGACAAAAGGATCCTTATATTGGCAATCAATAGGAAAACTGGATTTATACAGGATATATTTATTTTACTGCAGATTTTGTGGGAAGATCATTTTTCTGTTTTTCTTCTTGGAAGTCACACTTCCAGCAATAGTAACCATCTGGAAAACATCTGAGTATCTAGTAGTAAAAAGAATAATTTCTTTAGCCAAAAAGGATGTTATAAAGCTCATGCACATTATTTTGGAAGCATCTGTGCCCTTTCATTTTGGACACAATTTAAACCAACACTGAATATTCACAGAAGATGGGAAATACCTCATTAAATGGAGAGTTGGGACAGAGGACATGGAGTTGCTGCTCCTTCAAGACTCTGTCTCCTTCTCTGGCCCCTTTGTCCTTGTACACTTGCCCACTAAGTGGCGGTGCCCCTGGGGCCCTTTCTGTGCCTCTG